AAGATATTCAAGTGTCTTTTCCATGCTTCCTAAAAAAAAAAAGAGGTTAGTGAAGGCAAAATGTCATAATATAAAGAAATTGACGAAAGCCCCTTGCCAAGGTTTCAAGCCATTGGGGTAAAGGACACATTCACTGCCAAGGATTCAAGCCATTGGGGTGAAGGACACATTCACTGCCAAGGTTTCAAGCCGTTGGGGTGAAGGGCACATTCACTGCCAAGGATTCAAGCCGTTGGGGTGAAGGACACAATCACTGCCAAGGATTCAAGTCGTTGGGGTGAAAGGACACAATCACTGCCAAGGTTTCAAGCCGTTGGGGTGAAGGACACATTCACTGCCAAGGATTCAAGCCCTTGGGGTGAAGGACACATTCACTGCTAAGGATTCAAGCCATTGGGGTGAAGGACACAATCACTGCCAAGGATTCAAGCCACTCATTGCCATTAGGCTAGAAGGGGCAATGATACCTGCAAACAAACTCCACGCCTTGCAGGTTGCCTGTAAAAGAGGGAAAAAGACATGAAATAATCGTTAACCAAAAAAAAAAAGGAAATTAATCATCAGGATTCATACAATTAAAATTCACTTGCACGAATTACGAAGGGGCAAGGCTGATTCGACTTTTAACAAAAAAATTTGGCCAATTGTACAAAGGGCTGCTACTAATACAAAATAAAATAAAAGGTAGCAAGCTTAAAAAAAAATTGTGTTAAAAAAAAAAATCACAAAAAAAATCTGCTATACAACACAGCAACAAACAGGTTGCTGCTGTAAAAAAAAGGGGGACTGTCTTTGCAAAAATTTACTAAATAAATAGATAGTTTGTTCCCCAAATGATAAGCAAAGCAACCTGTGTTGGTTGGTTCTATCAAAAGAATATAAAAAATAAAAAATAAAATAAAAAAGAAAGAAAAAATTCTTGCTGCTTAGAAAAAAAAAGAAAAGAAAAAAAAGAGAGGGCTCTTTTGTTTCTATAGGGCAAGAACTTTATTTGGGCTAGTTAAGTTCATGAACTAACAACAAAATATATAAGGGGCAGCAGCTAAAAGGGGTTGCCGTTTTTTTTGACTTGGTCTTTGTTTGTTAGAGTATTTGGGTCTAGCAAAATGGGCCGCCTTTGTTGCCATCATATAAAAAAAAAAGTCTATTTGGTCTGATGACTAGCAGCAACAAGGAAAAAATGGGGCAGCAGCTTAAAAAATGGGGCAGCAGCTAAAAGAAGGGGCCACAGTTTTTTGTTTTAGGTTTGTTGTCTAGCAAAAATGGGCTCTCTTTATTTCTAGGCCATATTTGCTAACGGCAGCAGGTTATACACAAAGTTCATATGGGTTATAAAAAGGTTCATGGAAATTTTCATGGGTTACAAAAAAGGTTCATGGAGAAGAAAATTTCTGCTGGAAGGTAAAAAAAAAAGATCAGGTTAAATTGTGGAAAAAAAAAAAGGTCTTCGGGCTCAAAAAAAATCTGCTGGAAAGGCAGCAGGTTTTTTTGTTCAAGTAAAAATAAAAATAATAAAATAATAAAAAGAAAAGAGGCTACAGCTTTTGTTATGAAATAAGGCAGTAGGTTATTCATCCTTTCAAGAAGGGTCTTTGTTGGGACTACTTGGACTGAGGGCCTAGTAAAAAATTTTGGGAAGGGCTGCCACATGGTGATATACATGCTGAAAGAAAATATTTTATGGAGAAGAAAGCATACCTAATTTAAAGGAGTTTGAAGAGATTCTTTTGTGTCTTCTTTAAAGTATAAGAACAACTTTTGTTGGAAAAAGAAGCAAGATAATGGCTGGAAAGTTGCTGCTGGAAAGTTGCTGGAAAGATACTAAAATAATGAAGACCTAATATGCAGAGAAGAAAAGAGAGGCTGCTGGAAACAATCTGCTGGGAGAAAAAAAAGCTACAGGGAAAATATATGGGCTGTATCTTTTGTGTACTCAAAGAGCAATTGCTGCTGGAAAGATACTAAAATAATGAAGACCTAATATGCACCACAAAATCTGCAGAGAAAAAAAGAGACTGCTGGAAACAATCTGCTGGGAGGAAAAAAAAAGTTACAGGGAAAATATGTGGGCTGTATGCATGGATAGGTGTCATATAAGCAAAAATTCTTGCTTAAGAAAGGAGGTAGTGTTCTCCTAAAATACTTCAAACAAGCAAGAGTTTAGGTAGGATTTGAAATACTAAGTAAGAGTTTGTGTAGGATTAGAAATCCTACCAATGTCAATCCATCCTATTCCATTTAGACAAATTCCTATTCCAACATTTTTTCTGTCTTTTTATACTTCCAACTCTTTTAAACAATTCCAAACAACTGGCACATTTTCTGAGATACAGCCGCCCGTGTGGGAAATGCCGCCGCACATGCGGCAAGGGTTCCACACGTGCAAAAATGGGCCTTCGCATGTGCGATTTTCTTAGGCCCTATTTGGCTGCGATGGATGGGCCGCACGTGTGGGAAGCATTTTTTTGCTAAAAATATTGATTTTTGCTCATTTTATGCTCCTACTGCATCCAACCTGATTGGCATTAAACAGACAAAATATTCAATTTGACTGGTGTTGGCACATAAATTTCAACTAAATTTATGACACGTATAGAGCCTATGATAGGAAGGTTGTAGGTAATCACTCCCTAAAAAAAGATCAATATGATCCGTTGAAGTACATAAATAAAACGACGTATCTCAACAACGTTATTCAAGATACTCAAATGACACGTGGAGCCTACGAAAGATGACACCTGTAGAGCCTACAGCAAGGATACCACACAGGATGAAACCCCAAAGATCAATCCGGTTAATCAGATATACGATTAATCAGATAGCGCTATTATTCAAAATTCAAATGGCGCTATCATTCAATTTGGAATTCAAATTGAAGATGAGGCATTCCTATCACCTGATGGCCCTCTATAAATGAGGACCATCACACAAGACGGGGGATCAAGAAATCATAAGTGAAAAGATCAGAGAAAGAGAGAAAGAAATTGAGAGCTAAAGAAATCGTTACAAGAAAGAAGAGAAGCCTAGAGAACTCAAGAGCCCACGCTAATGGCGATGAATAGGTAAAGGGTTCCAAACCCAAGAATTGTATTTTGTATTCAAGGGTTCAAAACCCATAACAATTTCAATAAAATATTTATTTTTCTTAAATTGTCTTTTGTTGTTTATTTTGTTCTTCATTAATCGGAGGTTTCATTTGTATAAAATGTGTAATTAACGATTTGAAATACAGATCGGAAAAAAGAACCTACTATTCAAATAATCAACGCTGGTAGTCCAAAAACTAAACAATGGACATTTGTAACATAAATTTTGAAATGTGTTGAAGCACTTCATGTTTTAAAATTTGTGTCTACAACTGGCAAGTAAGGTTAAGAGATCCTAGTTACCAATCTCAATGCTGTTCAATTCGGCTTCAATCACATCCCCCAACTTACAACTTGCTAGTCCTCAAGCAAAGAATAAAGGAAAAAAAAAAAAAACAAATTAAACAAAATCTAGCTACCTCCTCTTTCATGGGAAGAAGAATTGCATTTAATATATGCAACAAGCCTTTAAACCACAAAATTACTCCAAATGGGCGACTATAGTCTTGTAAGGGTTTCCAAAAATGATACACACAAACATTAACATAATCACATCTGCCCAACAACAATTTACCACACTATTCCACTCAAGAATTAACTTATGTGCCAATACAATGCAATATTAAGACATGATGAGTCATTGAAGGCATAGTGGACAAACATGAAGGAATCTATTGAGCAAAAATCACAATTAAGTATTACAAAAGTTAAGTTCCTCGTACTTGTGAATGCTAGTAAAACACATCATCAGTACCCTCGGTGTAAAGTGCAATCCCCATAACTAGTTAACTGTCCACTATATATAATAACCCAGTGTAACTGACAATAACATCCAACATATACAAAAAAACTAAACTTTCGCAATCATGAGACTGTGCAATGTCCTGATCCATTAACCTTTCTAATCATCCATGTAACAAGCATTGGGCCAATGACTCCCAAACCAGACGGTTTTAGGGTACTAGGTGTGAAGACACCCCTATGGGCTTACTAACTCGAGCTGAAGAGGCTACGGATCCGAACAAGTCATTTTCCTTATTTTTCCTTAACTGTGCAATGTCTAGGTCCCTTAAGCTTACTAATTAACCCATGTAGCAGGTATTGGGCCAATGACTCCCAAACCAGACGGTTTTAGGGCACTACGTGTAAAGACAGCCCTACGGGCTTAATAACTCGAGTTAAAAAGGCTACGAAAAAAGTCAAGTTTTTCTTTTTTTTTCTTTTTTGTGTGCGAATCAAGATTGCTAATTTATTCTTTTTCTGCAACACTGGCAATTATTAATGATGTACACCAGGAATTATAATAAAGAGGTCACCGTTATGATAATCTGTTCAGGTGAATCAAGGCATACTCATGACAAGTCTACTAATACTACAAACACAAACAACTATCCTAGTTCAAACATTACATGCGAGTATTTACTCAATAAACCCTTTTCATACAAGTCTACTATGTTCCCCGATAAACCCTTACTAGCAACAAGTCAACACCAAGTGAAATGGTGCAATCAAGTGAAGCAAGTATAAACATGAATTATGAGCCAAGTAGAAGTACACAAAAGAAAATACCCTTATCCCCCAACTTGAATATGACATTGTCCTCAATAGAAACAAACGTGAACTAAACAACTATCCTAGTGCAAACATCACATACGAGTATTTACTCAATAAACCCTTTTCATACAAGTCTACTATGTTCCCCAATTAACATATGCTTATATCACCACCTTACTAGCAACAAGTCAACACCAAGTGAAGTGGTGCAATCAAGTGAAGCAAGTATAAATATGGATTATGAATTATGAGCCAAGTAGAAGTACACAAAAGAAAATATCCTCGTCCCCCAACTTGAATATGACATTGTCCTCAATGGAAACAAATGCGAAGTAAATAATTAAAGAGAGAGAATATTACCAGACATTGTAGGTGCACATCCAGCTAGGCAGATACGAACACAACACACACGTCCCCCCCTTTTTTTTTTAAGAGAAAGAGAAATAAAAATAAATGAAGACAGAAAAAAAATAGTCTATTACTAACGGCGGTGGCGGTAGTGGAAAATGCTACTCAAACAAGGTGTGCATCAATGTCCGAGTCTCGAATGCTTCATCATGAACCCAAGCGCTGAGCTGGTCAAAACACTGCTGGCTCAAATCCCGATACGCATAAAAGTCAGTTTGTATGGATGCAACTGACTGCTGATAGTTAAGCTGTTTGGCATTGATTTGGTCGAATGTCGCTTGTGAATGATCCCAATACGCCTGATAATCCGTGCGCAATCCCATGAGAAGATGGTGGTGATCCTGAAGAGTACTGTGGACTTGATCCACTGAGTGTTGAAGATGCAAGTACTTCTCTCGAGTCATGTACATGGGCTCCCCTTGGGAAGGCACAAAAAGGGCAGGAGGGGGTGGGCCATGAATGGAATCATCTGCCTCAGCAATCAGTACACCGCCCTGTAGTGGTATCTGGGATAAGCTGTGCTACCATTCTTGCTGGCTAAAAATCGAGTAGGCAAGGTCGGTCTCCTCAGCCGAATCAATCGAAAGGTTGTTCAGCTGGAAGAGGAGCGCGAGCAGGTTGGCAAAGGGCAGGGACCAAGTTGTGTTCGACAAGGGTTGAGGCTGAATGACTTCCCGCATAAATTTCTGCATGTGCACCCAAATCACGTGCTGAAGGTTTACTTGGTAACCATGCTGGTAACAATGTAAGACTCGCATAAACTCCTTTCGGCGCTTAGCTTTGTGCCCAAGTGGAAGGGTATTCTTATACAACACCAAAGACCAGGAATAATAAGTGAGCAGGTAGCTTGCTTTGGCGCAAGAACGTGAAATTAGGATCACCATAGGCTCGCAGAAAAAATTCTTGGATGATGTGGGGTATGGGTTGATTATCCACAAATTCGGGGAATGGATGGCCTTCTCGCTCGTTATAGAGACCTAACACCCTAGCAATCATGGGTTGCGTGATGCTAATGATGTGCCCATCTATAGTGGATAGAAGGTGGGGAGATGACACCATGCGCTCCTCAGACACGTTCTAGTGGAAAAGCTGAGCCAGACGAGGATAGGTTGGCGCAGTAACAGTGCAAATGCCTAATTGTTGCTGGAATTGAAGCTGCTGAACAGCCCAAGAGGTGGCTGGATCATTGTGAAAATACATGTTAAACTGAGTGAGCTTGTGAAGCGGGCGAGAAGCCCACTCCGGTCTTAGCGACTTAACCGGTGGTGGTGGCGAGAATGGTGGTGACGGCAGCGGCGGTGGTGCCGAGAAGGATGAACCTCTGGCCTTTTTGGAGGCCCGAGTGGATATCCGTCTACTCATGTCCTGCACACACCAAAAACATATACACACATACCCGTGGAACTAGCATGAGAATAAAATAGAATATCAAAGCACAAATATGCTCACTTATTTCACCACATGCAATTCTCATCAGTTTTTTTTTTTTTTTTCAAAACTAAATAAATATATAAAATATAAACAACACTAACAAGTATGGAACTAAATTAGTATACCACAACTATACATATGCATGTAAATTAAACTAACTAGCTAGCTATGGTGTAATTAAACACATTCATATTTTATTCAAATAACTAATGACTAAATAAATAAAACTAACTAAACTAAACAAGTAATGAATTAAACTATTTTAATCAATCAAATAATAAAATAAAATAAAATAAACAACCTAATAAATAATAAAATAAAGAATCAGATACGCTAAACAATAAACAAAATAACTAGTTACATAAATAAGATCTCAATTTGAAAATCAATTATGTTACGGTTCGAAACAAATAATATTTCGTAACTACAAGTTTGAAGCATTGATCAAGAGAATTATCACGTTCAATGTATAGGCACGAACTATCTCAAGTAACACGAGTCATTCGCTCTAAACTAGGGTTGCAAAACAACTCATCCCTCGTAGTATGGCTCATCTCATACCTTGAATATAAAATAATAGAAAATCATTGCATGAAAAACATTCAACAATCACAGAAAGAAAAATACTTTCAGAAATAATGGAAAATATATTCAAAAACTTCTTGAATACCATAGAACTTGCTCAAACCATTACATAATCAAAAATCAAAAAGAAAACCTTATTCACTTGGCTAGAGTTTCATCAAAACCTAGAAATAGAAGCCTAGCCACTCATGGAGGAGTGGGAAGAGGTAGAAGAAGAAGAAACCCCCATTAAAGATGTTCTTGAAGCTTGAGAACCCTCCTTTCCAAACCCTAGCCCCTCCTCTCTTTTGAAATATTTCAGAACCCTACTCCAGCCTTTTTTCTGTCTTTTTATACTTGCAACTCTTTCAAACAATTCCAAATAACGGGCACATTTTTCGAGGTACGGCTGCACATGGGGGAAATGCCACTGCATGTGCGGCGAGGGTTCCACACATGCGATATTCTTGGGCACTTTTTGGCTGCGATGGATGGGCCGCACATATGGGAATGGTCCTCTGCACGTGCGGAAAGCATTTCCTATTAAAAATACCAATTTTTGCTCAATTTGTGCTCCTATTGCATCCAACTTCATTGGCATTAAACAGACAAAATATATAAAACTCGAACGCATGTATTAGGCAACCAGTAATATTTTACAAGTAATCATTGTACATAATTAATACGTATTTTTCCATTTTTGGGTGCCAATTGCCGTTTTTGACTACGTTTATGGCATTTTCGCCTCTAACTCTTAACCTACGTATCCTATTTACGTACCGTCTATCCCTACAGGTCACATTTGGCACCGGGAAGCTTTCCATTACATAACAACAACGGTTAGGGGGCTGTTTTGCATTTTCGCCCCCTGAACGCCTTTTTTCAACTAAGTTTATGACATTTTAGACTCTAACTCCCAACCTACGTGTCTTATTAACGTACTACCTGTCCCTACAGGTCACATTTGGCACCGGGAAGCTTCCCGTTACATCACAACAGTGGTTGGGGGGCTGTTTTGCATTTTCGCCCTCCGAACGCCTTTTTTCAACTAAGTTTACGACATTTTCGACTCTAACTCCCAACCTACGTGTCCTATTAACGTACCATCTATCCCTATAGGCCACATTTGGCACCGGAAAGCTTCCCGTTACATCACAACAGTGGTTGGGGGACTGTTTTGCATTTTCGCCCCCCAAATGCCTTTTTACGACTAAGTTTATGACATTTTCAACTCTAACTCCCATCCTACGTGTCCTATTTATGTACCGTCTGTCCCTACAAATCACATTTTGTGCCAGGAAGCTTCCCGTTACATCACAACAGTGGTTGGGGGGCTGTTTTTCATTTTCCTCCCCGAACACATTTTCAACTAAGTTTATGTCATTTTCAACTCTAACTCCCAACCTACGTGTCCTATTTACATACTGTCTGTCCCTATAGGCCACATTTGGCACCGGGAAACTTCCCATTACATCACAACAGTGGTTGGGGGGCTGCTCTGCATTTTCGCCCCCCGAATGCCTATGTTTGACTAATTTTATAACATTTTCGACTCTAACTCCCAATCTACGTGTCCTATTAACGTACTGTCTATCCCTACAAGTCACATTTGGCACCGGGAAGCTTCCCGTTACACCACAATAGTGGTTGGGGGGCTGTTTTGCATTTTCTCCCCCCGAACGCCTTTCTTCAACTAAGTTTATGGCATTTTCGACTCTAAGTCCCAACCTACGTGTCCTATTTACGTACCGTCTGTCCTATTCATTGTCAAAGCTAACATATTTTAATAAAATATATATGACATTAATAAAATTGTTCTTACCAAATAGTGAACGTCGGATGACCAGCTTAGACCCCCAAGAGCTGTGTCAGTTTGGCGACTATATTATTCAGATGCTTGACCTTTGTATTTGTCTCCTCCCGAGCTTTCTGTCCCTGCTCCCGCTCTTTCAATATCTCATTGTAACGTCTCTCGCGCTCCTCTCGCTCTTTCAACATCTCATTGTAATATCTCTCGCGCTTCTCTCGCTCTTTCATCAACTCATCACGATCTCTTTGTCGCTCCTCATGAAGTCCCTCTATCTCAGCTCTCATTGCTTCCATGTCCTTATCACGTGCTCGTGATGCAGCTATGGTAGAGGGTTGCGGGCTGATCCCAAATCCAAGCAAGTACTTTTTCTTCTCTCCAAGCACTTGCCTTGAAAGCTCCTCCTGTGTCAATAGCGTCCCCGACTCAGTGGCAGCCACTTGTAGATTGACCATCTCTTGTTGTCATTGCAAATAAATAAGACAAAAAAGCTTAATAACATATATATTTTTGGGTACTAAGTTATATTGAATACAATTATTTCATTGTTACATACTTACATGCAGCTCACCGCATTTCGGATGGATCCAGTCATTCGTCTGCTTGGACGTGTGGCTATCCTCACAAGACTTAGGAAAATCCAAGTCTTCATTTTTAGCTACCTATTACATTTAAATAAGAACCAAAAAATAATCACAACATATTATTCATAACCAAAACCAAAAAAAATAATGGATTTACTTTCAAATAAAATCAATCTCACCATAGCAGCCATTGTGATAGGAAATAAGCGAGATCCACTAGTATGATTGTATGGCAACTGACTCCTATTACTCTTACCAACTTCTAACCGTTTCTAAAAATAATAATTATATAAACAAATTTTTCTTAAATATTAAGGCATATCACATTTGGCATGAGGCTATGTACAATGTATTATTACTTTACCTGGTGAGATATGTTAGAATAGGAAATTGTTAGAATAGGAAATAATGGATTGTATTATGACCAGTATCACCGACCCTCATCATGACCAGTAGGAGATCACTAATTCTCTGATTATGGACTGGTTGATCCATTCTATGGTTCCTGAGATTGGAGAGGACTACTTGTCTATGGACACTGCCCAGGATATTTAGGAGGCCGTAGCCACTACTTACTCTAAGAAGGGAAACTTCTCACAGTCTTTCGAGTTACGTCGATCCATTGAAAGGTCGGTACAAGGTGAGCAAACTATCCTCCAGTATTTTACCTTCCTTAACAATGGATGGAAGCGGCTTGATCATCTTTAGGATTACAAGCCTGTTCAGTCCCACTGATTCTGCTGGTTATCGGAAGTTTGTGGCACAAGAACGGGTCTTCAAGTTCTTGGAACGCCTAAATGTAGAGTATGATCCGGTTCAGAGCTGAGTACTTGGCATGGATGTTCTTCCTTCCCTTCAGGAAGCCTTTGCTTTTGTGCAGAATAAGGAGAGTCGCCGCTCTACGATGCTTCCTTCTGCTACTACTGATCGCTCAGCCTTGGTTTCTGCACCTCCTCGCGATACTCATGGTTCTCGTAGATCTCAACACACACGAGAGACGTGTTGGAAGTTACATGGGACCCCCTCTGGTGGCCGAGGAGACCATCCTGGTACTCGAGGGTGTAGGTCTGGCCAGTCTCGAGGCCGCGAGGCCAATGCTCGGGCTCATCTGTCAGATACTGTTGAGCCACCATCTGCATCTCCAATTGTTTCCCCTACTGCTGATGTCTCGGGGTTATCTGCCTCGGATTTTGAGATTGCTCTTGCTAGACTATTGAGCCTCCACTTCTGCTATAGGTGCCCCTTCTTCTTCCTTTGCCAATTCAGGTAACTTGGCTGCCTCCCCATGTGCATTGCTATCTCATACATCTATACCATGGATTATTGATTCTGGTGCTTCCGACCATATGTCTGGCTCCTCTAATTTATTCTCCGAGTATAACCCCTGCTCAGGTCATGAAAAAGTGCCTATTATTGATGGTACTATTTCGTTTGTGTCTGATTTTTAATGTGAGTCATGTCAACTTGGTAAACAACACCGAGCTTCTTTTGCTCCGTCTATTAATAAAAGTTTAGTTTCTTTTTCTTTGATCCATTCTGATGTATGGGGTCCATCCCGTTTTGTGTCTTTGAAAGGTCAAAAATGGTTTGTTACTTTCATCGATGATTGTTCCCGGGCCACTTGGGTCTATCTGATGAAAGATAAGAGTGAGGTGTTTTCTGTGTTTCAAAACTTCTATAAAATGGTTTGTAC